GAACTAAAATAATAATACACAGATCTGTACCCCTATCTCAGGAATGTGTCAGCAGTCATGTTTTGATCATTTTTGGATTCTTCTGCACTGTAGAAGCACCATACAAAATGAGAAGGGGTGACTTGCTGATATATTTTAAGCGACTTCTTCGTGAGATGGTGGAAAAACAAGAAGCAAGCATTCCGGGCTAATAGCATTTTGTATGCACTTACATGTTGCTGTATTGTCTTGTCATGTAGAAATGCCTGGGGCTGGCATTGCAGCATAGCAGGTTAAGACATTTCCCATGATGATGGCATTCCCACGACTGCCAATTTGAGTCCTGGCTACTCTGCTTCCTAGCTAGCTCCTGGTTAATGCGTCTGAGGGCAGCAGAGCGAGGCCTGAGCAACTGGGCTTCTTTACCCGTGTGGAAACCCAACCCTAACTATTATAGCCATTTTGGGAGTGAACCAGTACATAGGGGATCTGTCTAATCCTTTCTATGTAATTCTGACTTTCAAATAGATGAAATACATTTAAAAAAAGAAAGAAATGGCTTATATATCTGCAAAAGCAATGGGAGAATTTAAAAAATAACCCTGTCGGGTTACAAGTTGTCATTGCCTTTTAGCCAATGCCACACTGTGCATCTTCTGTGGGTGTCTTTCTTCTCTGAGGATCTGTGAACACTTTGTGAGAGCAGATTACTAATTTTTCTTATTTTTTAAAAAAGATAAATTTATTTCTGTTGGAACAGTAGATTTACACAGAGAAGGAGACAGAGAGAAACTGAGGTCTTTCATCCACTGATGCTTCCCTAAATGGCTATAATGGCCAGAGCTGAGCCAACCCAAAGCCAGGAGCCAGGAGCTTCCTCTGGGTCTCCCACATGGGTGCAAGAGGATGGTTTTGGGCCATCCTCGACTACTTCCCCAGACCACAAGCAGGGAAATGGATGGAAAGTGGAGCAGCCAGTGTATGAACCTGGTGCCCCTATGGGATTCTGGAGCATGCCAGGTAAAGATTTGGCCACCAGGTTATTACACCTTATCACCATTCTCTGGTGGCTGAAGCTGAGAAATCCGAAGCTAGGAGCCAGAAATTTCTTCACAACTTCCCACATGTGTGCAGAGTCCAAGGACTTGGACCACCCTCTGCTGCTTTCCCAGACCATAGGCACAAAGCTCAATCGAAAGTGGAGCAGCCTGGAACACGAACTGGACCCATATGGGACTCCTGTGCTGCCGGCTGAGACTTAGCTGCTATGCCATGGATCCAGCCCCTCCACCTAAATTTTTTTAAAAAAACTTTTCAGTGGCTGTTTTAGGTTCTCCTCTCTCTGACAGTTTGTACTCTTTCCCTTAGAGATTGGCCAACAGCAGGATCAATGGATCAAATTTTACCAGCTTTAGTCCATGTCCTCTTCTTCCCTTCCAATTTTTTTACAAAGGCTTTTTGGGGTAAAGTCTGCAGACATGAAATTCACCCATTTTTCACATACAGCTCAGAACTCGTTAATGACTCCACAGAGTGGTGCATTGATGGCCGCATTCCAATCTGAGCGCATTCCTGTTGCCCCCCACCCTCCCTCGTGGCCATCTCTGCTTGCTCTGCATCTCCACCTGCAGGCAACTGCTCATCTGCTTTCTGGAAACAATTCCTTAAATGCTTTCCACTGGCAATGACATTCACTGGCTTGAACATCTGCTCCAGGGAAACACGGTTTATCCTTCCAGAGGCCATCTGAACCATGCAAGTCCACAGCAGTAAAAATTACGATCTAGTTCAGGCACAGATGTCTAAGAAGACTGATAGAACACATCCATGTTTGCCCCCCTGAAAGCTTTGCCAGAGTGTTGCCTTTTCTGGGAACGAAAATCTTACGCCAGAGTTGAAGCCCTCTTTCTCACCCGCAGCCCCATTCGCCTCCACCCTCTTGCCATGTACCTACTCTCCTGAATCTTGCATTTGTCACCACCTCTGCTCACCACATGAGGGCACAGGGTGGGTGGCTGCTTGAGCTCTTATAAGCACATTTAATATGCATATGTTGTTTTGTGTGTTCCTCATCTTCATAAATGGAAAATGGGCCCATTACCCAGTGTTTGTACTTTGTTGTTTTCAAGTTTTTCCTGTTTTTTTTTTTTTTAAATATATATATTTTTTGGTTTCTGTTGGAAAGGCAGATATATAAAGATCTTCCATCTGCTGGTTCACGCCCCTTCTGTCCACAACGGCCAGAGCTGAGCCAATCCAAAACCAAAAGACAGGAGCTTCTTCTGAGTATCCCACATGGGTGCAGGGTCCCAAGGCTGTGGGCCATCCTCCACTGCTTTCTCAGGCTATAAGCAGAGAGCTGAATGGGAAGTGGAGCAGCTGGGATATGAAGCGGTAACTATATGGGATCTCAGCAGATATAAGGTGAGGATTTAGCCACTAGGCTATCGCGTCGGCCCCCAACCCCTCTGTTTGTTCCTTTTAACATTTATTTACAAGGCAGAGAGATGTATTGGTGAGACATAGATACAGATGGAATTAGGGGTGGAGACTGACAGCACTTCCATCTGCTGGTTCACTCCCCAGTTCCTTACAATCGCCTGGGCTGGGTCAGGATTGAAGCCAGGAGGCTGGCAGGACCCCAACTTCTTGAACCAATGCTGCTCCCTTCCCAGGGTCTGCATTAGAAAGGAGCTGGAGCTGAGAGTTGAATTCAGGTATTCCAAGGAAGGACTAACCCACCACTGGTGACATCAGCATCCCATACCGGTGCCGGATCAAGTCCTGCCTGCTCCACTTTTAATCCAAATCCCTGCTAATGTGCCTGAGAAAGGCAATGGCATACAGCCCAAGTGCTTGGGCCCCTATGTTCGTGTGGGAGACTCAGCAGAGGCTCCAGGCTCCTGACTTCAGCCTGGCCCAGCAATGGAAGATTCTCTGTTTCTCCTCCTCTCTAACTCGGCCTTTCAAAATAAAATAATAATAAACAAAATATTAAAAAAAAAGGCATCAGTGGAGAAAAGCCCAGTAAAGTGGGCCCACATGGGAGACCTGGAAGAAGCTCCAGGCTCCTGGCTTCGGATTGGCTCAGCTCTGGCTGTTGCAGTCACAGAAGATATTTCTGTCTCTCCTTCTGTCTGTAAATCTGCCTTTCCAATAAAAAAATATTTTTTTAAAAAGTCCAGTAAAAAGATACTCAAAACTTGAATTCAAGTTTAACAAAGCCAATTAGAAAAAGAAAGACATAAAAGAATAAGTAGCAACATGAAAAGAGGGGTGGATATCCAGTGCAGTGGATGTCTGAACACTCAAGACACCTGCATCCCACGTTGGAGGGCCTGGGTTTGAGTCCCAGCTCTGTGTCTGATTCTAGCTTCCTGCTAGTGCACATTCTAGCAGGTGGCTGACGATGACTCAAGTTGGGTCCCTGTGACTTACTTGGGAGAGCTAGACTGAACTCCTGGCTCCTGACTGGGACCTGGCTCAGCCTTGGTTATCGCAGGCATTTGGGGAAAGAACCAGTGGACTGAAGATTTGCCTCTCTGCCTTTTAAGTGTATACAATAAAAAATTTTTAAATGAACATGAAAAGAATATTAACCAAAGACAGAAGTTAGAGGCCCCTAAAGCTGTTGCCTGCAGTGCCGGCATCCCATGTGAGCACTGGTTCACATTTCTTGCTGCTCCACTTCTGATCCAGCTCCCTGCTAATGCCTGTGAAAAGTAGTGGAAGATGATCAAGTGTCTTGGGCTCCTGCTACTCTTGTAGGAGACCTGGAAAAAGCTCCTGGCTTTGACGTGGCCCAGGTATGGCCACTGCGACCATCTGGAAATTGAACGAGCAGATGGAAAAAAATCTGTTTCTCCCTATGCCTCTGTAACTCTTTCAAATAAGTTGTAGCTGGCCATAAGTAAGAATTCCTTTACCTTTTCATGTATTATAAAATCCCACATACCTTTATCTTATAATTAAGAAATATGTATTTTCTTCTGTTTTGTAAATCTAATGCAAAATTCTATTATCCAGGTGGTTATACTAATGACTTCAGCTATTCTTTGGGAAAACTTGCTTCTCCTTACCTAGCCCCAATTTTCCCACTGTGGGAGGGTTCTCTTTGGGACAGTGGTATTATGCTGGGGCAATGAATCCCTCAACAACTTTTATTTATGCAGTGGCTGATTTGTTCCAATCATTCAACCAGTAAACATTTACTTAGCACCTGCTATGTGCAGGTACTGTGCAAAATTCTGGGGCTGCTGAGGCTGGCATTGTGGAGTAGCAGGAAAAATTGCCACCTGCAACACCAACACCTCATATGGTGTTAGTGTCCCGGCTGCTCCACTTTTGCTCCAGCCTCTTGCTAATGCACCTGGGAAAGCAGCAGAGGACCCAAGTGCTTGGGTCCTCGCACCCAAATGGAAGACTCTGATAACTTCTTGAGTCTGGTTTCAAAGCCTGGTCCAGCACTGGCTTTTGTGGCCATCTGCAGGGTGAACCAGCACATGGAAGATCTCTCTCACTCTCTAACTCTGCCTTCCAAATAAATAAATCTTGAAGAAAAAGAGATTCTTGGGCTACAAAGCTTAGGCTGCTGCCCTTGAAACAGATGATGGCCCAGTCTGTGCAGCAAAAAATGGAATGTGGTATAAGAAGCTGAAAAGGAGGAACTAATGCAGTGTAAGAAGACAGATAGGGGCCTGGCACAATGGCTCAGTGACTAAATCCTCCCCTTGCTCTCACCATTGTGGCCAGTAGGGGAGTGAACCAGCAGATAGAAGAGCTTTCTCTCTCTGTTAATCTGACTTTCTAATAAAAATTAAAGATTGAATTAAATTAAAAATCTTTAAAAATTAAAAAATCTTAAAACAAAAAAAAAGAAGAAAGAGTTCACACTGGAGATGGTGACACTGTCTGGGGAGAGTGGGAATGGGACATGGAGGAACAAGGGTCCCCTTGCAGGCCATGTGCATGGAGCGTGCTGGGGCGTAGCTGGCGCAGTGTGGCTGGAGGGGGTTGCTCACCTGGATTTGAATGTCTTTGGAGTTGATCACCTCCACGATGCCCACCACATTGTCAAACACCAGGCCAAACTTCTTACAGTTGTCTACGGGGAAAAGTCAACTCCACTCAATATACACAGCAGATTTATACAAAAGGACTCATCGTAGTAGTTTTGGAGCCGAGTTCTGCCCTACCGATTGTAATGGAGTTTATTTTCCCTTTCATCTGGAGAGTGGATTTGCTGCATTTGAAGATGTAAGCTACTTGCTTCAGCTCCGTCTCTGGAATCATCAGGTCATTCCGGTCTTCTTGGTACTCCTACGATTAAAACACATGCAGATGTCACCTATATGTGAGGATATACAGAAAACATCAGCGGGCTTCCTGTTTGTCTAACACATCCTTTCTCTCTCCTTGCAGAGGAAACCCGGGTTTTACCTTTGTTATTATTGCCTTGGCTGTAAATGGGCAGATGGAACCAGTGGGTCTGGGCACCTTCCTAGCAGGTGTCTATACCCTGGCTCATGGCTAGGGGCTGGAGTAGGGGCATGGCAGCTGTTTGCTGAGCCACTGATGTTGAACCTGGACTTGAATCTATAGCACCATCTGCTATGTCCCATAGGGGTTAGACACACAGGTTGGGGAAGGAAGGGTCATGGCGGTGACCTAAGCTCTAGTATTTTCAGACTACAACAACCTTTTTAGGGATTTTGCCCTGAATCATTAGGGAGGGCCTCTGCATGGGCAGGGGACCCCAGCTTTCATCCACACTGGCAGTATCTTTGTCCTGAATAAATAGTTAGCCCTGATGGGTTTGGGGAGCAGGGAAAGTGATGGTTGAATATGTCTCTGCCTCCATGAGTGGAGCTGACTAAGTAAGCATCCTATAGAAGACCAGAATGGGGCACAGTCACTGGTTCTACAGGTTTCTCTTGCCATCTGTTGGTGTTGATAAACCAATGGAAAGAATGAAATTCACAGCAAGTAGCATGAGGATTTCTGGGGCGTAAGAAGCTATTGTCTAATGGCTCTTGAGGTTCAGTTCTGCAGGATGAGATGGGGCTCTGTGGGTGGAGCAATAGTACACTGATGCACCAGTGCTACTGGCTGGCACATTTAAAAAAAAAAAGGTCATTGGCACACTTCACGTTTGCATTATATCACAAGGAAAAATCACTTAAAATGATAAAGAATGCATATGAAGAGTGGACAACATTAAGTTTTCAGACACATTCAGAAATGTCATGGTTTCTAACTCCAGCTGGTGGGTTTTGCCTCTGACACCAAGAACTCCCAAGCTTATGTCTCAGCGCTGCGTTGATAAGAGGGCGTGTGTCAGACAGCGGGGGACAGGCGGCACTCACCACTCTCCACTTCTTTCCTTCTAACTCAAACACTGGAGAGTGTTTCTGAGCAGGAAGGGACTTGGGCGAGGTAGGGCTCGGGGTGTGGCTCTTGGTTGGAGGCGGAGTTTGTCCTTGAGCGCGCAGGCTGGGATTCTTGTACGTCTTCTGGTCATCGGTGACATGCCGCAGCCCTGCAAGGGTAACGCATGTGGACACGTTTCTTTTCAGTTCACGCCTGGGGCTGTGGCCCTACTGTGTTGGGCCTACATGATATAGACAGCATGAGAACTTTTGGTGAGGCTATTTTCATAACAGGCTAGCGCTGTGAGCATTTTGGTTTTAATTCTAGGAAAATCTTTAAGCAGTTAAAAATGACAAAAAATTCTGTACATAAAATAAAACAAAACATCCCAAATCTCAATGCATCCTAAAGTATCTGTCCCAGAAGGTTCAAACGACTTGCTTCTCTCATGGCTAAAACATTTGCCACACATAGCTAGAAAGGTTAGCGCATCCCAGTGAGTGCATATTGGAATACAGAATTAAACTTCGAGTCAGGAGTCCATTCTTTCTTTGCATATGACCTTCAGAGCAGAGAGTGGAGGCAGCTGAGGGTTAGAGAAAAATTTGGAATTTTGGGTTCTCACCACCTCAGCTCAATAGAGGCACCTTACAATCAAATTCCTGTTACTTGTGTATACAGCTTTTTTTTTTTTTTGGACACAATGATATATATTACTGTTTAGAGAGAGAGAAAAATCACCCATCCACTGGTTCACTCCCCAGCTGACTGCAATGGGTGAGGCAGGGCCAGGCTGAAAGCTGGAGCTTTTTCCTGGCACATTAGCAGAGAGCTGGACTGGAAGTGGAACAGCCAGGACTTGAACCAGTGCTCATACGGGATGCTGGCATTGCAGGTAGTGGCTTTACTTGCTACACCACAATGCTGGCTCCATGATCCTGATGAAGTTTAAATATTGTAAAATTAAAAGGGAAGTAACCCTTCGCCATGAGAGCACATGGGCGGTTCACTGTGATGTGTATACAGAGCTGAGTGCTTGCCCTGCTTCTCTCTCCAACTTGATGCCTTGGCTGTGGAAGGTGGTGCTCAGGTCTCAGGAACCGAGGCAATGAAGCAGAGCAGGGGTTGAATGAGAACTCAGACTCCCTGAGGTCTTTCTGGCCCACATGGCCCACCGAGGCTGGCTGTCTGGAACCATGCTGCAGCTGCCGCCTTCCAGGGTGCTCAGGATCCTCATCGTGGTGGTCCCTGGCACTGGCAGGGGATGGAGGATCTGGGTCCTGGAGCCTAAGGGAGCAAGGAAACCTCCAGGCCCCACCGGTTCACCTTTTGTTATTGCTTCTCCCTGGTTAAGCTGGGCAAACAAAGCTGAGCGTGATGGTGAGGACTCCTCTTTTCTGCCTTCATTTTCAAAAAGTGGAGGTGGTCCTGGAGGAGGTGGAGGTGGAGGAGGTGGGGGGAGTCCAGGCCCCGAGGACAGCACAGAAAATGCAGACGTTGTCGTCGTTGCGACCGGACCCTATGGGAGACAGCAGGTGAAGGAGAGAATGGCATTGAGATGGGAACCCTGCCTAGAACCTAGTTCTGTGCAGGGACCTCCTAGGACCGAGGATCTATGTACTGGGAACCCACAGCAGGACTGCCGGCAGAATTTGCACAGCCAGGGGGCTCTGCTGCTAACTTAGCTCAGGTCACAAGGTCATGTCCAAGACTCAGCATAGGAATGCAACTGGGCAATTGATAATGAGAACAAAGCAACACAATGGACAAGAAGATAAACTCTTTAGGGGCACTGGAAACTGGAGCGATCGATGGTGAGACAGGTGAAAAATTGTTAACAGTGATTAGATAATTATGAGCCTTTTGGCCCAGCTAAAGACTCTCTGGAAGTCATTTTTCCAAATATGCATGCCTCAAGCTGACCCCAAGACAAGCACCGTGTGTGACCTGGCTGTGTGGCATGGCCAGGACCGTATGACAGATGGCTGTGAACCTGGGGAAATTAAAGCCTTTAAAGTTAGACTTGTGTGAAGTGCACCCTTGGTCTTCAACCTGAAGGTCTAAATTCAAATGGCAGTAAAAGGTGACAGGCCAGACAAGGACTATGTTAATGTTTAGAACAGATAACCCTGGCACAGAACTTTGAACAAGTGGGTAACAAGTTTGGGAAAAATGACACTTTACTTTTTTTTTTTTAAGGTGTATTTATCTTTATTTGAAAGGTAGATTGTTCTACACAGAGACAAGGAGAGACAGAGAAAGAAGGTCTTCCATCCACTGGGTCACTCCCCAAATGGTTGCAATAGCCAGAGTTGAGCTGACTCAAAGGTAGGGGCCAGAAGCTTCCTCTGGGTCTCCCAAGTGGGTGTAGCGACCCAAGGACTTGGACCATCCTCTGCTGCTTTCCCAGGATGTAAAGTAAGGAGCTGGTTGGGCAGTGGAATAGTTGGGACACGAACCAGCGCCCATGGAGGATTAGTCTACTATGTTACCATGCCAATCTTAGTACTTTATTTTTATACCCAGGTGTAGAACTGTAAATTCTTGATAAGGAATTATAAGCTAATTCAACTTGAAAACCAGGAAGTTGAAACATTGAGAGTGTTGAGACGTGGTTTAGGCTCCTCTGTCTTAAGTATCAGATACACAGGTAAAATACCACATAAATGCCAAATATAAATCAACACAGCATATTCCTATTTTCACAAGCAACTCAGTATTACGAAGTGTCTCAAGAAGTTATTAATGTGTAAAAGTTCCTGATTGGGGAGCTGGAGTAAGCTCCCCATCAGCTGTCCTTCTTCCCAAAGGCCTGAGACAGCTCCAGGCTTAGAAGAAGGAAGCCAAGAGCCGGGAATGTAGTCCAGGTCCCCTGGGCAAGCTACCACCTTTTGCTTTCCAGGGTTGTTGTTAGTTTCAAGCTGGGGGCAGGAGCCAGAGCTGGGATGAGCTGGGACACTTCTGCTATGGGGCCACAGGCAACTGGCTGCTGCGCTAAATACCTCCCTGCCCCCAACCGTCAGAAGTTTAAGTCCAGTAGTATAGTACCTGCCACTTGAGAAAGAAAACACGCTATTTCAAAGTACTTACATAATCCCTATGAAGTGTAGAATTACTTGTGAAAATAAAAGACTTCTGTTATTCTGAATGCAAGACTTAAAAACTCAGCTGGTTGGAGTTCTCACCTCCTGAAGATATAATTTGCAAGGGTTTTCTATTCTTTAAACCAGCCTGACTCCATCACAGCTCTCAAAACGGACTAACCTCACACATCCTCTTCAGTATCTTACATGTTTTCTATTATGTGACTGGGTTGAAATTTGAGAATTTGCTCTGAATCATGAAGACTATATAACACATGCTTTGTGCAGCAAACAGTATTCCAGCCTCTGGTTGGAGACATCCACACAAACAAACAAATAAGTCTGAGAATTACTTTCCTCCCAAGTATGTAGTAACATAAAGAGTTGATGCTCCCATTCTCAAAAGCAATTTGGAGGGAAGGGGAGGTAATACCGGTCCCTAAGGCCAAATCATTTTGTTTGTCCCGCTGCTCTCAGAATTCAGACCCCAAGAACCATGAAAGGAGCCTGAAACTGAGAAGTCCCATAATCAACTTTTCGGAACACTGATATATTAAGAGAGCTGAACCAGAAACGCCAGACAAAGGGTTTACTGCCACGGACGCTGGAAATGAAAGCCAAAAAATAAGGGAGCCTGGGGGCAGCTGAAATGTGGCCTTGGGCTGATCCGTTGTCCATCCTGGATCATGCCCGTGTCAGCCCTAGCCCCGGCAGAGTGCCAGTCTCATGTTTCCAAGCTTCCTTTATAATCAGCATTCAGGGACTTTGCTGCAGGGGACCTAGGAACCAACTGATCAGGGCTTCCCTAAACTGGATCTCCGTGGGCTGCCTCTCACCCAGTAACTGCTACCCCTTCTCCTCTTTCTGTAGGACAAGAAAGCACCTGTGTTCTCACGTGGGCTTGGCCATGAAGGCAGTCACACTGGCCATGACCGTAGCCTGATCTGACATTTTCAGACACCCCAATGAGAAGCAGAACACTAGCAGGGAGACGAGCTGGGCAGTAGGTCCAGCCTGGGTGCTAGGCACCCATTATTTTCATTCTATCAACAGATATCTACTAAGTGTATTTATGACGGGTTCAATGCCAGGGGCTCCCCAACTCATCTGAACACCAGAAGCATGTAGGGATCTGCTGAAAATGTCCAATCCTAGGCCAGCTTACAAATACTCTCGGGGGGGGGGGTGGTGGTGGTGGTATTATGATGAGACATCTGTAACTTTTCTGAGTCTCCCTTGGTGACTTCAGGGTGGCAAGTTTGGGTATGACTGCTGTATCCTGTGTGCTGAGGTTAACCTTGATCATTACAAGCCCATGACTCAGGCAAGTCCTGAAACACATCCTTAGCAGATCAGACTGTTCAAACTTAGCTCTCAATGACCAGCTAGTGGGCGGTGGTCTAATTCTAATTTCTGCTTGACTCTAAAATCTTTTTGTGCTGTGTCCAGACTTTAAGAAATATTTATAAATTTAATTTGAGAAACACACAGAGAAATCTCCTATCTGAAGCTTCTCTCCCCAGATGCTCACAATAGCCAGTGCTGGGACAGCCCAATGCTGAGAGCCTAACAGTCAATATAAGTTTCCCATGTGGATGGCAAGATTCTAACTACTTGAGCAACCACCTGCTGCCTCCCAGGGTGTGCATACTAGGAAGGGATCAGGAGTGTACCTATGACTCCAATATGGGATAGGAGCATCCCAAGCAGAATCTTAGCAGGTGTGCCAGAAGCCTGCCTCCTCCCATCTCCCCACACCCCCTCTCCTCTACTTAAAAACAGCCACTGGTCAAATTAAAGATCTAGAAGTCTGGGCTGCCTCTACACATGTGTAGACTTGCTCTTGTGCCTCTGGCTAGAGTATGCATGACTAAAGTAATGGGAGAGGTACAATAGACTGGCTTGGATGATCTCCATTGATTCTCATGGACTCCCTCTCTTCCTCTAGTAGCTGACCTAGCTCCTATGGCTTACGGGGGCAGCAGGCACCTTGGTTGTGGACAGTGGCACTTCAGCAGTGTCAAAACCTGGATTGTATCGATTTGTTTGAAAGACAAGTTTAGGGATGACAAGTTTGCAGAGAAAGAGCGAGAGGAGAGGGAGAGAGAGGTCTTTTATCTCCTGGCTCACTTCCCAAATGGTTGCCATGGTTAGGGTTTGGACCAGGGAAAAGCCTGGAACTCAATCTGCATCTTCCTTATGAGTAGCAGAGGCTCAAAGTGCTTGAGCCATTTTCTGCTGTTTTCTCAGCTGCATGAGCAGGAAGCTGGATTGGAAATAAAGCAGCCGGTTCCCAAACCAGTGGTACTATATGTGATGCTAGTATTGCAAGCAGCAGCTTGACCTCCTGTGCCACAGCACTGTTTGATGCTGCTTTTGTTGCAACTTGGTGCTGCGGCTGTGAAAACTGGGCTGTGAAGTATTTCTTTCTTAAGTACTCACTGGTGCCCATACAGGGTACTTACATTCCCTGGCTCTGTATCTGGTGCTTTTGCTGTTCTGAGGTGTGGGAGGGTCCTGGCCCCTCTCCTGGGAATCCCTCAGCATGATTTCCTTCTTAAGACAAGTGCCCTGTGAGGCAGTCCAGCCTGGATGGGACCAAGAACATCAGATCCAAGCTTTATCTCAGCGGCCCCTTGAGTGAGCCACTGCATCGTGCTTTTCCACCAGTGCTGGAGCCTTGGAGCCTGTGGAAGAGTGGAGGGCAGAGGAGAGGGTATAGCATGGAGGGCAGATGTGCCCTGTTCCCATGATACCCGAGCATCATGTAGAGCTGCAGGAGTGCTCACAGAAGGGCACGCGTTTCAGGCAGGCACAGCAATGAGGGCCAAGAAGAGTGTCCAAACCAGTAGTGCGTGCCTCAGAAGCCTGCATGCAATCATACCGATTGGAGTCCTCGCCCCACTGCTTCACACAGAAACTTTAAGCAAAGTGCCACGCCAGCCTGCACAAAGCACTCACTGTCCTGATCGGAGGCTGCTGGCTCCACCGTCACGTGCATTGTGCATAGCACAAAGGCATCGAATGTGAGACCTCGCCTATCTGGTTCTTCCCCGAGTCTTCTCTCAGTGTATTCTGCTGTGATGTGTTTTAACCTCACGATTTCCTGCTTTCTTGTTTCTACAGTGGTGATGACCTCACGTGACCAGCACGAGCTCACCTAGAAGAGGAAGTGAAGCTGGAAGCTGAACAGGTATTTTGCATAGCAGTGAGTGTGATCTTTAGTGGCAATGACCTACACCCAAATGCTTTTCCAAAGCTTCTCCAGGGTTGAGCATGTGGCACAGTGGGTTAAGTTGTAGCTTGGGATGCTTGTAACTTTTCGCATTCAAATCCCACCTCTGCTTCTGATTCCGCTTCCTGTTACTATGTCAGAAAGGCAGTGGACTGATGGTCCAAGTACTTGGGTTTGTGCCACCCACATGGGAGACCTGAA